ATAATTAAAGGAAAACTCCGTCAAAGGAGATCCAAAACTCTCCAGCAGCTGGAAGCCTGTATTAAACAAGAGTGGGATCAAATTCTAATGACTAAACTCAAGACACTTGTCTCCTCAATGCCCAGATGCCTCCACTCTGTGTTAAAAAGAAGAGGGGACACTATACCATGGTAAACAGGCCCTGACCCAACTTTTTTGAGACCTGTAGCAGCCATCAAATTTGAAATGTGCTCATTTTGTGAATAAAATTGTAAAATTTTTCAGTTTCAACATTTGCTATGTTATCTCTGTTCTATTTTGAATAAAATACTGGCTGGAGTGATTTGAAGTCCTTGCGTTTTGATTTTATTCACAATTTGCACTTTGTCCCAACTATTTTGGAATTGGGGTTGTAGTATAAAGCAGTCAAACAAAATGTGGATTGCACACACATAGCAAGTTACGGGCTTTTGTCGATTGAAGCAGAGATGTTTCCATAAAAAAAATATGCCATGGGTGGAGATATTCAAGTGAGGTGTGGAACAATTCTCACAAGCCTGCATGTGATGTACAGTAGGAAGGGGAGCCAAATCTGAATCCTGTGCCGAATGCCATAGTTTATCAAAAGGGCAGCCCACAGAACATAACTGGGTTGTTTTACTTCACAGTTAGTGGGTAACTTGGCATGCACTGTAAATATAAAAATGTATGTGTACAAGAACTGAAAAAGTGAGTTTTTCATAATATGTCCCTTTTAAGATATTCAAGGACAGTAATAATTGAACATGCCATTTTCGCAGTATTCTCAGGCAAAAAAAAAAAACTGCTGAAAATTACCGCACTAGAGCAAAATGTTACACGTTTACAAATTACAGGGCATCTCAAGTCGATTCCCATTGTTTTTGTTTATCGCCCAATCAGCGAGCCGCACCTGCGCAAACAAACCGAAATAGGATTATTTACGCATGAACACAAACCATTGGTTTATATGAATGAAATTGGTCATGTGACAATGCAAGATGTCGACAAAAACAAGTGATTTGTTTGTAAACATTGGGCGTTCAACGTCCCGTCTGAGAATCGACTTTTGATGCCCTTTAAATGTATCAGCTAAGAGAACAGAGCATGTTCACATGAGCAGGGGCTATTGAATGTCTTGGAAGAATGTGATAAACATACACTACCAGTAGGGGGGCAGAGTTGAGAATGAGCATATGTAGCTTTTGTGGAGAGAGTATATTCAGGCCAGGAACGGGGAATTGAGTGAGTTGTTTAGTTGCCATGGGATGAAGAGATGTTTTAAGGACCAACCCAGCTCATAGAGATCTACCATCCTACAGGTTTTCAGTCCAACTGCAACAAAGCACCTCCATCACCAGCCAGAGATCTCATCGAACTCTTGAGGGGTAGAATTATTTGGCCAAATTAGGGTTGGAGTGTACTGGATGGTAGATCTCCAGGAACAGGGTTGGTGATCACTACTGTGGTTAGTCAGTTCACTGTGGCTGAGTTTACATCCATTAACCGGCAGCAGTTTTCTTCAGCATCAACATTTTATTCATTTCCAAGTCCCAATTGTTGTGGTGGAGCCTTTTTTTTTTTTTTTTTTTTTCAAAAATCACCCCCTTACCTGCCATTACTCGTTACTTTACCCAATTGATTGGAGGTAAATTTTAAATAAACCGAGATTGTTCAATTCAAGCAGGTAAGGTTTGGCAGATTAGAATCTTAACATTTGCAAACATGAAAAGAACTGCACCATTACTCAAGAGGCATTCACCAGAAACTTCTAAACTTCTCCATCTGTGCGCTCTATTTAGCTGATCAGGCTGTGGCATGGACCCACACTAACTCTAGAATCTTCTCAAAAATACAGAGAGTTGTTGCACAGGAAGTTACTGAGAATCTGGTGGTTATTTTTGCTCGGTGAAATGTGTCACTGCACCCCGGAACCTCGGTAAAAGCAGGTCTTGGTGACAGCATAGAAGGGGCATGAATGTGGACATTAGGAGTAAATAAGGAAAATTAAAGGTAAGTCACTCCTGCCGACGTTCTCTATCTGCACCCTCGGCATTTGATTCTTTCAAAAGGTACAAAAACATTACAGAGCAAAAAAAAAAAAAAAAAAGAAAAAGCCCTGCCTATTGCAAGGGTAATGTGGATAACTGTACTTCAAACTGTGTTCTTACGAACACACATCTCTTCGCATTTTTGGTACTTCTTTTCAACCTGACCTTTACATTAAGGAAACAAAAAATAATTTTTGTCCTCATACAGCAGATATACAGTACGGTGCAAAAGTCTTAGGCACCCTGCACTTTTTAAAATTAAAATCTATATTAGATGTTTAATCTTTGTTTCCATATTAGAGTTCCTGAAGATAAAAAGTAAATTTGAAATTCCAAATGCTAATTTAAAGAAAAGTATCAAAGATAAATGTTAGTATTCCATTAAAATTAGTTGATACAGATACTATCGTCTTGACAGAGCCTTGATGTCAACATCATCATAGCCGTTTGTAATTTTTAAAGGGATAGACGCAAGTGAGACAGTCAGTCTGCAGACGAATGCTGGCAGGTTCTCCACTCTGTTTAGAACAAGCAAAAAGCCAATCATCGTATAAAACTGTAACACAACAAGACGGTGTCCCAAATTTTTTGGCAAAGGGTAATCAGACAAAATATTGATTTGATTTAGTTTTTAACAGTCTACAGCTCTGTTTAGTACATTTCTCAGTTATTAGAAGCTTTTAATTTCATCATTTTTGCAAGCATATTTGCCCTAAGAGATTGCTTTAAATGTGGCTAAGACTTTAGCATAGTACTGTATATATTAAAATATGATCTTCTCATGATACTGCTGGTGATTGCCTGCGCAACGATTACTACCAAGTAATGCATTAAAATGAGCAGGCCTAAATGCTATCTGCTCATTTGGTCACTTGAGAAAAAGCTAATTAAGTTCTACCTCTTATGGCACTGGCTCATCTTGCAAAGCCTTTTTCAGTTTGAACAATAAACAAGTCAGAGCATCAGTGAAGCAACATCCTAGACACAAGCTCCGGTAACATGCTAATGCTGTTTGCTTCCTTATTCACTGCATCAACAATGAGATTTAAATCATTTTATCTCATCAGAAAAAACTATTTCAAAGGCGTGCCTCAACAATCTTGTGGAGAAGACAGAAAATGGGGTAAGTTCTTTTTACGTTCTACGGACTGGTCGCCTGGATGAGGCATGCCCAAATAATCAATAGAGGGTTGCACGCATACACTGTCTACCTGTGCCCGTGAAGACCCCAGACATAAATTGAAGTATGCTTGCAAAAAAATACACAGATGTATTTTTTTGTAGATATACAAATTTTTTTACATCACTCCTCTCATGCAAAATAAAATATTTTTTGCACTACGTGTTAGATTACCAAATATCTAACATGAGATACTGATATACTGATGGAAAGACTAATAGTGCGATCACCACAAAGCACAGCTATGACGACACTTTGTTTTTTTTTTTTTTTTTTTTGCAGCCGTGGGAATGTCCCATTACCTTTTCACTCTTCATTCCAGGAGCAGTGAGGATGAGTGCAAGATGCGCTCTACACTGTCCCGTATAGGGAGCAGGGGTTCACTGAGGGAGCCGCCAAAACCTCCGGCTCAGGCCAGGAAACCCCCTGCTGCTCTCAAACAGCCCCCTGAACTCACCCCCGAGCCCCCGGCCCGGGAGTTTAGCAGCAGTGATCACGGATCCTCTATCCTGCAGGTACATAATAGCACTGCCACCCAGAGGGTGAGGGGAGTCCTGAAGTATTTGGCTGATCATGGTAGAAACAAACAGGTAGACTATCGGGCTGCAAAAATTAAGCATCAGTACTGGCAAATACACAAGTACAGTGCTGTGAAAAAGTATTTGGCACCCTTTTAAATTTCCTCTATTTTCCCACAAAGACACCAAGTAAACACTAAATGCAGTTTTTAAATGAGCATTTCATTCATTGAAAGTAAAGAGTCATTCAAAACCTGTATCATCCATGTGAAAAAATAATTGAACCCTTAAACCTAATTGTGCCCATTGTGCCAGCCTTGGCAGCAACAACTGAAATAAAACATTTGCAATAACTGGCAATGAGTCTTTTACATCACCGCAGAGGAATTCTGGCCAGATGTTCTAGGCAGATTTGTTTTAATGCAACCACCTTCAAGGGTTCTCAAGCACGAACTATCTGTTTAAGATCATGCCACAGCATCTCAGTTAGATTCAAGGACTTTGATTGGGCCACTCCAAAACCTTCATTCTGTTGTTTTTGAGCCATTAAGAGGAGGACTTGCTTGTGTGATTTGTATCATCGCCCTGCTGAATAACCCAGCTGCTTTAGGTCACAAACTGATGGCCGCACATTTTCCCTCAGGATTCTCTGGTAGAGAGCTTACTTGTGGTGCCATCAATTACGGCAATTCGCCCAGGTCCTGGAGCTAGAGCTAGAGACCATCACGCTACCACTACTGTATTTGACTAATGGTATGATGGTATATTATCTCAAAAGCCTTGGGGATCATCAAGATGTTTTTTTGTTAAATTTGAGATGAGCCTTTGTGTTTTATTTTTGGTTAGCAGTGTTTTTCACTCTGCAGCTCCCCCATGGATGCCATTTTTGCCCAGTCGCCGTCTTTTTGAGGAATTGTGACCTTAACTGAGGCAATTGAGGCCTGCAGTTTAGATGTTAGTCTGGGTCCTGTTGTGACTTCCAGGATGAGTCATTGATGCGCTGTTAGAGGAATTTTGAAAGACCAGCCAGTCCTAGGAAGATTCACCGCAGTTCCACGTTTTCTCCATTTGTAATGGCTTAATTGTGGTTTGCTGGAGTCCCAGAGCCTTAGAAATGGCTTGAAACCCTTTCCAGATTGATAGATAGATGTCAACAACTTCATTTCTAATCTGTTCCTGAATTTCTTCAGATCACATCATCATGTACTGCTTTTCGCCTACTTCACATTGCCAGACAGGCAGTCGATTTAGGGTGGCACAGTAGTGCAGTGGGTAGCAGTACTGCCTTACAGTAAGAAGGTCTTGGGTTCGAATCCGGCGTGTGGCCGCTCTGTGTGGGGTTTGCATGTTCTCCTCATGTTCGCGTGGGTATCCTCTGGGTACTCCAGTTTCCTCCCACAGTCCAAAGACAAGCATTTCAGACTCTAAATTGCGCATTGGTGTGAATGGTGTGAGCACCCTGCAATGGATTGGCAAGCTGTCCAGTGTGGGTCCTTGCCTTTAGGCCATAGTCAGCTCCAGCTCACCTGCCACTCTAGAGAGGAAGAAGTGGTGTAGACCGGTGTTTCCCAAACCTCTCCTGGCGCACCCCTTGTCTTGCATGCTTTAGATCTCTTCCTGCTCCAGCACTGGAGATTCAAATGATTCGCTTATTGTCAAGCAGCTTCTGGAGTTAATTATGACCTGATCATTTGAATCACCTGTGCTGGAGCAGGGAGAGATCTAAAGCATGCAGGACAAGGGGTACGCCAGGAGAGGTTTGGGAAACACTGGTGTAGACAACGGATAGATGGGGGATTTAGTAACTGAGGGAGCAATGTCTTTTTTTATATCAGGCCAGGTTGGGTTCGATAGCTTTTTTCCTTCAATTAATGAAATCATCATTTGAAAACTGCATTTTGTGTTTACTCAGGTCATCATTGTCTTATAGTAAAATTAGTCTGATGATCTGAGACATTTAATTGTGTCAAATATGCAAAAATAAAGGAAATCAGGACGGGGCAGTTACTTTTTCACAAGGACTGTTACAAAATGGACTTAACCCTTTAAGGTGTGAGATCACACAGTAAAAATATAGTTGTACAATCACAATGTTTTTCATGCAACATATCAATGCTATTCTAACCAGCATTGCTGGTAATTGCAAAAATTGAGTTATAGGACATTAACTTTTGTTCCAAGGGGTTAAAAGAACACACTGAATACATGGCTGCTTTGATTTGTAGGGCTTTGAATACTTCCGGTCAGATGAATCCTTATGTGACGTCACTCTGGTTCCGGGTGACAGCAGTATGGTTTTCCCAGTACATAGAATAATCATGGCTTCAGCCAGTGACTACTTTAAAGCCATGTTCACAGGTGAGTCCTTCCTGCAATAATATCACATTCTGAGGAAGTCTGCCCCCAATTCAGGCTGCTAGCTTCTTCCCCATTATAATACATTACTGTGTATTATATTATTATATTTTTGCCTATTAAAACCAGGAGGTTTTACTCATTTACCCAGCAATGGACAACAGTACTTGCAACACTGTGCAACTATTTACAAGATGGAATTCTGATATTCACTCTTCCTTTAAGTGCCACATTTTACAGGATTCCCTCTTCTCACACCTCCAAACTGTGACTCTTTAACCTTCTAACTGCCTACTCAGCCTGGTGGTACACAGTAAACCCTGATAGTGTGGTGAACTCAAATGTTTTGTGGAAACCGATTACCTCAAACAAATTGTGTAGGCTAACTTAATTGCACTGTGGGAAAGGAACTTAAATAAAATAAGGTAAGGTATTTTTTTTTAACGTTTTTAAGTGCTGTGAACACAAGATCATTAAGTCGGCATACTCAATTTTTTTGAGGTAATCGGTCTCCACAAAACATTTAAGTTCACCACACTTACCAGGGTTTACAATGTAGAGCACATTTTGGGTCACTGTATCAAATTGAACGATTTGTTAAACTAAACTCAATCTGACTGAGCCATCTCTACCATTTGGCTGAGGTATGTAATGCTGAAAAACACCAATCAGTTTGTAACGTTTTGTCCGTAGTGCAGAGTGCAGTTGCACAGAGGGCAGGAAGTGGAGAACTGGACTCCAGCGCAGAGGTGGATTTGGCTGATACTTGATAATAAAGTGCGCCGCATACGGCACAAACGTTGCAGTATAAACAAAAAGGAACAGAGGTTTCCTGAGTTGCACACTACGATAATACAAACACTGGCTCAGGACTGTTGCATTATAAATAGGAAAGCAAATGGGAAACAAGGTTCCTTTAAAAATTAAACGTGCTGAAATAAACAGCAAACAGCAGGGATTCTAGGTTTCTTAGAGAGATACGTGAATACAGAAATACAGCCTATACAAGACTGTGTCACGCAGGCATGAGGTTACACAGACGCCACAAAGGAGGCTGGGGAAACTCAGCATTAAATAGTCTGTGCTACCACTCGGAGATAACAGGGAACAGCTGTATATGATAATTGAATAATTCCAGATGATAATTGAATGATTGGTGGTGTGTGCTCCGGGATTCAGAAGACCAGTGAGCTGGACGACTGGAGGCGTGTCCTCACACAGTTAAGGTTAGCACATCTTTCAGTTCGATACAATGACTCAAAATGTGCTCTCCCACAAGGTTAAGACCATTAAAGGTTAAGGACAATTTACTGCAAAACTAAATTGGCAGATCAGATCAGCAAACACACATTTCTCAAGGCTTTCCCCCTGCTTGACTCATAGGTGGGATGAGAGAGCAGGAGCAGAGGGTTATTAAGCTGCATGGAGTGAGCGAAACAGGGCTGAGGAACATCATTCAGTTCATCTACACGGCCCGTGTCTCCCTGAGTCTCTGCAGCCTGCAGGAAACCTTGGAAGCTGCCAGCTTTCTGCAAGTTCTGCCTGTTCTGGGCTTCTGCAAAGAGCTCCTCAGAAGTGAGGTGAGATACAGGGCAGGGACAAGGCCATCGCTGGTGAAGAGCTCCCAAAAGAGAAGGTCCACACAAATTCCAGGAGATTGAGAGGCCTTGGGCAATTTCATTCAGGGGGGCAGAAATCCATCCTACATCCCTGGGTTAACTCAGGGCAGTATGAGCAAGAATATATGTAGCATTAATTAATGGGTTAACTATTGAAGGAGGCTTTCAAGAACAGTCGAAAGAGTGAGACACCGGTGATACTAAGAACCTTATTGTATTTCATTCAGGAGAGACAAGTGAATGACGTATAGGTAATTATTTATTTCCAGATTACTCAGTATACAGATTAACTGAAGGTGTGATAATAGCCTTGACAAAGTCTTCAGTGCTTGGACTCAACAGGGGGATTTTCTAACTGAGGAGCATCTATCCTGAGCCACAGCAGGATAAATCCCCTTAGGAGTCTGGGTACTGATGGTGGTGGTGGCTGATGACTATATCCTATCATTCATTCCAGCGAATTCTGCATTTTGATTGGTTAACACCAGGTATCTATTCACCGGTAAACTACCTCGCACTGGGTCAAGACCTCGTCATGATTACGCCGACAAAATAAGGCTACAGTTTGCGTACAGTCTTACTCGCCAGCGAGCTAGTTGGCTACCTAGCTAGCAATAGTATAGCTAGCGCGCCGATGTATTTAGCCATATAGCCAACTGGCTAGCGAGCTAAAAAGGCTGCAGTTCGCTTTCAATGCGTACACTGTCATACTTGTTAGCGAGCTAGTTGGCTTCCTAGCTAACAAGCCAAAGTGATATCAAACTGTGTGTCATAGCTAGCATGCCAATATTTTCGTAGGGGTGTTGACAAGAGTCATGGTAGAATGGAGATAAACCTACCGTTTTTTTCGAGCACTCTGTATTTATCGTAGGCTAGATATCTGGAAATTTACATTTGAAACCTCGAGCTTCAAATGAAATTTCCAGGTATCTATCCTACGATAAATACCTCGTGTTCGAAAAAAACTGTAGGTTTATCTCCTAATTGACTGATAGGTCGATGAAGTTGATTAATGATGAAGCGAATGAATCTGCAAAGAATAGGCGGTGGTGGGGAGTTGGGTGCGCATAACAGCAGTGTGAAAGTACTAAAGACGGCGAGAGAATCATATTTAATAAGACAGCAGCAAGCTGATGGGCTAAGAGCACAGGTGTGTTGTTGTGCTATTGGATGGTTGTGAAAAGCTGATAAGACCGCTGATGTCTGCAGCCCCAGTATATGACTGCAGGAATTATGAGCAAGCATCTATGAGAGGAGTGAAGGGCTGATTAAATGAGAAATAAACTACAGGCCAAAGCATGCAGAAGAAGTTTCATCACTTAACTTTCACCAGAGTTTCATATAAAGTTTCTAGCTACTGCACCAAAATTAGCAATGTAACCATATTTCTTAATAAAGGCGCTGCACAGCTGTAGAAAAAGATTGCCAACTGCGCTTCCATTACATATCAGCTCTCCACCTGCTACTGGTCTGCAAATCGCTGTTTCTGCTAACAGGCTAATTCTCTCACAGGTAACCATAGACAACTGCGTGGAGGTGGGGAGCATAGCCAGTGACCTTCTCCTGGAGGAGGTGCAGACGTACATCAATGAGTTCGTCTGCCAGAACTTCTCTCAGCTTGTAAAGAGTGAGAAGCACCTGCAGCTGTCCCAGCCGACTGTGGCATTCGCCCTCTCCAGCGACTCTCTCACGGGCTTCTCCGAGATGGAACTTTTCCAGATTGCGCGGGCCTGGCTGGCGTACGACCTACCCGCCCGCAGCATCCACACCTACGCTCTGATGAAGTGCATCCGCTTCCCGCTCATGACTCCTACTGAGCTACTCCAGATCTCCCAGGAGGACGATGGGATGCTTCGGACCGACACAGCCTGTCTCAACCTCCTCTTGGAGGCCAGCAACTACCAGATGATGCCCTTCTTGCAACCTGCCCTGCAGACAGAGCGCACACGGATCCGCTCTGACTGCAGCCGCCTGCTGGCGCTGGGCGGGGTAATGCGGCAGCAGCTGCTGGTGAGCCGGGAGCTCCGGCTCTACGATGAGGAGGCCGAGGCCTGGCACGCCCTGCAGCCCATGGACACGCCTCGCTACCAGCACGGCGTGGCCCTCATCGGCAACTTCCTCTACATCGTGGGTGGCCAGAGCAACTATGACACCAAGGGCAAGACGGCGGTGGACAGCGTGTATCGCTATGACCCACGCTTTGACAGGTGGCTGCAGGTGGCCTCGCTCAATGAGAAGAGGACCTTCTTCCACCTCAGTGCCCTGAAGGGGAGACTGTATGCAGTCGGGGGCAGGAACTCTTCTGGAGAGATTGGTGAGGCTCTTACCGCCATCAATATCTATCTCAGCTTTG